ATTCTAAAACATTTGTGCTTGGATCTACAGATAATGCATTTAAGTATATATTGAATTCATTTTGATATTCTGAATGTGATCGTTTATAAATTCTTGACATAATATTTGTTGTAGTTGGTTTGTTTATTGAGTCTACTAAATGTTAACTGGGATCAGGAGTGTATTGGCTTTCATATTTACTTCTAACACTAAAATAATATATATAAATTAATATATTATTTTTATTATACAATTATATATAGTAAATTATAACTAACATATTTTTAATTTGTGTAATAAGGTGCGATGACCACTTAAGTTCTTCAAAATATTGGAATTTAAGCCGCAGATCCAATACTATTGCTGAAATATGTAATGCATTTGTCTTTTGACAATACTCTAGAAGCTTTGTAGCCGCAGCATTACATCCTTGCTTAAGCTATAATTGTGTATCATTCTTTTGTTGAGTCTCTTCAAGTGTTTTAAGCAATACATGATAGATAGGATCAGTCATTGATAATGTGGGATATTCTGACGATAACATAAAAGTTGTAGCTAAATAAAATATAATATATATATTATTTTTTATAAATATATAAATAAAAAAATTAAATTTATTAAATATAAAAATATATTTCATTTTATACAATTACTAACCATCCTTAAACGGCTGTAAAACTTTAATAATAAGTTTTATTTTTTTTCCATTCGATTTCACTAAAAACATACTGTCGCAAATCTACTTTGGCTAATGCAATAGCTTCTAATGCTGGTTGCAGTGTTATTGCCTGATTACACATTTCAAGAGTGGAGTTCCACCTGGTGTATATGTCAATAATTGGCTTTAATTAGCTTATTCTATGAATTTGACATGTCATTTTAAGCTTCTCATGATGCCTTGGTGATCCTCTTATACTTTTAACTAATGAACACAACTGAAAATAAAAATAAAAAATAAAAATAAATCTCTTTGCATAAAATCAAACAAAAATGTAAAACTAATAAGATTAATAAATAAATAAATAATACTAACCTTTCCTAACTCGCCTCCTATAAAATCTAACATGTTTTGCATAGCAAGGTTTAATATATGGCCAAAACATTGTATTGATTGCTGTGTGCTATCAAATAAGATACTGGTTTGGGATAAAGAATCTGCAAAATTTTGCAAAAACTTATTATTTGATGCTGCATTGTCACGTGTAATCGCGACTATTTTCCATATCAAGAAGACTTTTCTCTATAGTATTGGAAATTGCAGCACCTGTATGTGATCCATTCATTTTAATAAAGTCTAATAAAATGCTTTTAAGTTTCCATATTGCACTTAGATAGTGAATAGTAATTGATATGAATGACTTGTCATAAGTAGCAGTTGTCTATAAATCTGTTGTTATTGCAATGCCCCTGGGAATATCTTGCAACCTTTCCTGAAGTCGTTTATATTCTTCCTCAAAATTATGCACTATACGTCTTTTTATCAAATCAGCTGATAGTGCTAAATTAATAAAAAAAATATATAATAATAATAATAGTAAATAAATAAATTAAAATATAAATTAAAAAATAAATTAAAAAGGCAATAATGAATCAGATAGATAATAGTAAGAATCTTCAAATTAATTATATACCTGTTCGAGAGGTTCTAAATATTGAAAGATCGATTTGAGTTCATTATCTTCAATGATCTTAAATGGCCGATTATGTTTGATGATCCATTTTTTAATTAAATTAATAAAGGTATTTTTGCTGAAAGGTTCACGGAGATAGTTATCGATCTAATTATATTATTTTGTCTTGATTTCTATTAAGTTTTTTTTTTTAGCTACTACATATTTCTAAAACTTATATTGTTATTATTTAACATATCAATAACAGAGATGCCATTATTTACAGGTGACACTTTTAATTCAGGTATCTTGCTCTTATGTACATAAAGATGCCTTCTAAGATTTGATATAGTTCCTCCTTTATATATTAACTTTTTACTACAAAATTTGCATGTCGCATGATCTTCTTCTTTTTGATAATATTTCCATATAAAAGACCTATAAAAAAACAAATAACTGGTAAGTAAAACACATATCAATAATAATATAAGCATAATTAACTCATATAAGCACCACAGTTAAGTAATAAGCTATTAAGATATATTGACTGTGAAAGTCTTACCTGCTAGGTACAATAGAGGGGTTGCTACTAATTTGTAACTCAGATAATTCACTAGTCTCAGTTTCTTCTATTTAAGAAGATGTTAGTTCATAATCTTTGTGCTCATCTCAAGGTGTAGGTGAAAACGACATTGAAATGTTGGCTTATAAAAGTATGAAAGTATATAAAGAAGTAGGCGACAGAAGAAATCTCAATGTAAATGCTTAAAAAAAAAATTGCGATTCTTTTTTTATTACAAAAAAAAAAGGGGGTAGTTGTATAGTTTATACAATTTTTATTCGCTAAAAAAAAATTATAGTCTTTAGATCATAAAGTCTTTGATTATAAAAAAAAAAAATCATAAAGATCATAAAGTCTTAGATCATAAAAAAAAAAATTTTTAGAAAAAAAATTTAAAACATTCTTAGAAATCTTTAGAAAAGATTTAAAATCATAATGGTAAGCTTAAAATACTTCATATAGTCCATTCATACTTTCACTAACATGAAAAGAGCAGAGGAAAAAAAAATCTTTTATCGCATAGACAATCAGAGTATACTATTTATAGCCAATCAGTGCACATATTCAAGCGGATTAAAAAACCGTGTATATTTGAATCGGATCCCCATGTGGATCTGAATTCGCAAGTTTTATAAAATCACGGATCCGGATCTGTTCTAACGATTCAGATCCGGATCGAATTTGAATATCAAATCGAATCTGTAGAGCATTACGACAACTGTTAACTGTAATGCAGATCTATTTTTCAAAATCGTCATCTGTGGGATTCGAACTCTAGACCTGCTGCTTGGAAGGGTGACAACTAACCAACTACACTAAGTTGCCACATCTCTATCTTTTTTTAATTTTGTCAATTGTAATCAATATAATCTGATACAGAAAGTAGAGATATTACTGTAATATGCTTATATTGCATTTTAATATTTGACTAATTAAATTTAAATATCAAATATAATATATAAATAATATCTCAAAATACTATTTCTAACAAAGCTTTACTTTAACTATTAACCTCTAACTCTAATTCTAATTCTGATTTAGTATTAATTTTTTTATATAATGAAATTGTTGTTATACAAATCTACAAATTATAATTTAAATATATATATAATAAATCAAAATGAGTATATATTTTATTTTTATTTTGTAAAGTTTATAAATTATATTGTTTTAATATAAAAACTATACTATTTTTCTCTCATAATATATATATAAACTCTTCTTGATAATCACTTGAGTCAAAATTTCTAATAAAAAGAAAGTCTAGTTTTTATACTGAAAAGTAGTAAACCTATAGTAGGATAATATTAACAGGATAGTTTTTATAAAGTTTAACTCTAATATATTTAACATGCAAGCCAAAAGCATTGGTATACTAAATAACTGGCAGAAGATAGTACTTTTATATATAAAATTTTATGAATAGTAAAAAATAAAGCTATTAGTTGTAAACAATTAAAATACAGTAAAGAATGAGCTTATTTTAAGCTGCACTTCTTTTTTTTCAATCAAGTAGTTCTTATTATCTTTTTTTTTTGTTTCTTTGTCTTTTTTTCAAAATTTTTTAACTAAAAGTAAAGATTTGGCTTACTCCTTCCAAAAGATAAACATTGTTTATTTCCCAAATTCAGATGAACTAGTAGAATACAACTATATGTCTGTTTACGGACAGATATGACACTACTTTATAGGACTTAGCCTAGAAACTTTAATTATAGCAGCAGGCGGCTTGAAATACAGATTCTCAGATAGCAATAGCACCTGGCTTGAAATATAAATTAAAATAACAACAGAGCTAATTAAAGTTAGTGGAAAGTCAGAAATTAAACTTAACATTAAGGCAAAGCTTTATAGAAAAGATAACAAATATTGCATTGTTATATAATTTTATCAGCTATGCATGAGTTATAACAGTGTCTTTAAGGTTTTAGATTTTTTTTTGTATTTTTTCTTTTTTGTAATTTGTGGTTTTTTTTTTGTTTTTTTTTTGTTATTTTTATAATATCTTTGTTTAAATTTTTCCTTTTGTTTTATGCCTCTTAAAAAGAAAGAAGAGTTTAAAAGAAAAAAGAAGTTCTGACATAATCAGAGCTAGACTATATCTTTAAATATACCACATCATATATGACATATAGTGGTCAATATTAGTACAATAACCAAGCTTGAACATTTTTAAGAAACAGCCAGGTTTAGTCTAATCTGCTTATTAAATAGTTCAGTTTTGTACTAACACTAGTTGGAATATGGCAAATCGTGTACAAATCGGGCATACCTATTTAAACCTGATTGATACCCGATTTTTAAATTCAACAGCCCGATTTATGCCAATTTATGGCACAAATCAGCACAATATCGGGATAAAATCAGATATTAATCAGAATGAAGTTTATAGTGCTTGACATGGTCAAGTAATCTGGATATTAAAAGTTCATTTAGTTCAACTCAACTCCAAAAGTCGGGTCTTTATTAAAGTTCAGTTCCTAGTCAAACAATTTGCATTTTCACGTGCAACTTGTATATTTAAATATAGACGAAAAATGTGTATTTATGCATACATTCTTATTTAAAATATACAAGTTGGTTGAGCAAAATTTCATTTTTTAAAAAATAAAAATATAGCACTATGGAGTTACTCGACTTTTGAATTCGAGTCAAACAGATCCGAACTTTAATATCTTTACTCACCTAGTATCGCTACCAAGATCAGGTACATGTGTAAATCCGGAGCTTAAATTTTATTTGCCAAATTTAAAAGGTCAGTTTTTATTTGCAGATCATATTATGATTTATATTAAACTTTTTTTTTTATAAGTTACTATTGTCCTGCACTTGACTAGTAGAGCATTATCTTAGAGACGTTTTTTTCTTCTTTTTCTTTGAAAGCCTTTTTTGCTCAGCTGGGTAAACCAATCTTCCAAGGTCCTCTGGTATAGATAACCCGTTGTATTACTTGATGTAGCTGTAGGCAGCTTACTTTGATCTAACGAAAATCTAGTCGCTGTGGTTGATTGAGTAGATTTCGGCTGCGATGATCCATCATTGGTATAATAGTCCTAGGTTGAATTGGTGGTGGTGTTGACAATTATGATGAAGAATAATCTTAACTTTACTCCAGTAATTAATTCTGAATAGCCAAGTACTTTGCCCAATATCGAACCATTAGTAAAATCAAAAAGTCGAATACTTTTATCTGACCGGTGATCCGAATGAAACATACCCGGATACAACAGCTATAAATTTGATGCGGAAACAACATGTATATATAGTGATCGTAGTCTTTTATATGGGATATAAAAGACATAAAAAAAATTGGAAATATAGAAGCTTTCTATACTATTTAGGGTGTAGAGGTAAATGAAATTATAGTATATCTTTATATTGTAATCGTTTTATATGTCTTATTTAAGACATACCATCTTTAGATGATACCGCCTTGCGATACTGCAGATAACGCGTCTCTGTATACTTTTGTCACTTATTCCGCTGATAGTACTATCAGATTTTGGAATTTTGATGATCTATTAACATGATTGGTTCAAATTTTTCTGCAGGAAGTAACAACACCACTTTAAAAAGAAACATTTATAGCAAAGAATGAATGAAGATTATTTATGTGAATCCAGAAGGAAAATATCGCTCAAGCACTTTGGAAACAAAATATGATAAATCTGGTAGGTATTTCAAAAGTTTAAAGAATCATCGTAAAAATATTTTTATCCTGTTAATTATATATTCTGTATTACAGATTTCACAGAACAGCTTAGTTCTTCTGCTGTGGAATTAGAAATCAGTACTAGTCCTGATGGAAAACTGATGGCATCTGGAGATCGTGGTGGAAATCTAAGGTATTTTTTAAGTATGAATAATAAGTGTTTTCCTGTTGAAACATACTAAATGGGTTTATCTATTTTATTTAGAGTACATGATCTTAATACTTTTAAAAAGATTACATATCAGGAAGCACCTGATGCAGAGATCTTGACAATTGAATTTACTTACAGACGAATGCCTGGTGAGTATGGATGCAATTTAATATAAGCGACATCTTTATTAGCTTTATCAAATCCTATAGATGTTTATGTATTATAATTTAAATGATGTTGCTGTTAGTTCTTTATTAAATGCCTATACATTGTTACATTATTTTTTAATTTAATTTAATTTAATTATTTTATTTACATATATAAATATATATTAGGTGTGCCAAATTTAATTGCTATTGCAAGTCGTGACAGAATCTTACACGTTTTTGATGTTAATAATAGTTTTCAATTGATTCAAACTTTGGATGACTATTCTTCGTCTATAACTGCTATAAAGTTCATTAATAATGGTGGTAAGTTGATCAGTTGTGGTGCAGATAAGAGTATCATATTCAGAAGTCGACAAAATGTAGGTTAAAACTAGACTTTTTTTTTATTTAATATGCTATTCTCGTTGATATCATCCAAATTGGATCAGATCATTTGATTTATATATAAGGGAGTGAATAATAAAGGAGGATTAGAATTAGAGAAATTGTATAGAAAAATTTATTATAAAAATAATGTTAAAATAGGAGTGTTGATACCATACCAACGAAACTTATACAATTGATATTAATGAGGGCCAATTACAAATTAAAATTTTATCATTCATCAAAATTGTTTTATTTAGTCGGGTGATTCCCGAAGTTATGTGCCATACTATAATATCTCTGGAAGAGCAACTGTATTTGATATGAACATGATATATCAAATCGGTACATAGCCACAGTATCAGGAGAGTGTAGACTAAATGTTTATCATATTGATATGGGTAAAAATATGCATTCATACAAATCTGATACAACCGAAGAGGTTAATACTGCAGATCAAGAAAGCTTATTTAGAATTTCTTTAAATCCTGACAGTGTACATGCTGTGACTGGCGAGTTCCATGATATGTTGATCCTGTCTGTAGGGTTAAATCCATACCCAAAGGATGTGGTTTTGGTAAAGTACCCAGATAATTCAGTATTATTGGTTTAAAAGAGTTAATTAGTATTATATACTAAAAAATATATAAATATCTGTAATCAAATACTTACCTGACAATTCCATTTAAACAGGTACATATGATATATTGTTGACTCACATGATAGAATAGGCACTTTTGACCTGCAATATTATAATGAAAAAGACATTTACAAAAAATAAGATATCAGTGTAAATACTAAGCATAATTAAGAAATATACATATCATTATTCTTTGAATGTTAAAGGTCACAAATATGCAAACTAACCCACTTGTCTATTAATCTATCTTCTGTGAACATACATAACAATC